AGGGAAGAAAGGAAAGCTCGGTAGGAGGGTGATAAGGCATTGTAGGAGAGATGGTATGAAATGCAATGGGCTGTACACTTTCTCTTCCCTTTGCGAAGTGTAATGGGAAGATCAAGGTCAGTGGGATCAACTGCAAAAATAATGTTAGGTACAATAACATTATCATTAGAAAAAATAACAGGCTCAGGCTCAAGGGGAATACTTGGAACTGTATCTGCTGAATCTGGAGCCTTGGAAGGACTGATGGAGAGTGGTGTGGGTTGAGCATGTGTGGAGTCAACCATCGTCTGATGGCGCTGATATTTCTGTGAGGCTGCCCGTAGTGGCTTAGGTAATGAAACTGATGGAGGTGCAGATGGTAAAACTGGGGGCACAAAGGAAATATGAAGAGGAACAGACTGTGAGTTCTCCTCCCCAAGACTCTCCCCCCGAGGAGAACAACTCGAGAAAAAGGTGGACTCAAAAAAAGTAACATGCATAGTGACAAATCTACTCGACATAGGGTCATAACAACAATACCCCTTTTGGTTCTGAGCATACCCAAGGAAAACACATTTCTTGGCCTTAGAATCCAATTTCTTGCGATGGGGGCCAAGAATGTGAACAAAGGAACCCCATTCGGATAAAGAAGACTAAATGGTGCCTTAAACCCCARWGTTCGTGAAGGAACATGGTTAATTAAGTGTACGACTATAAGAATTGCATCTCCCCAGAAATGGATAGGAACTGAAGCACACACCATAAGATTTCTTGCCACCTCTACAATGTGTCTATTTTTTCTCTTTGCTACTCCATTTTATTGTGGTGTATATGCACAACTGCTTTGATGAATTATACCATGCTCCAAAAAATATGTGGTCAAATCCTTCTCAAAATACTCTGGCATTATCTGATCTGAAGGCCTTAGTTCTCACTTCAAATTGTGTGAGAACCATTTGGTGGAACTGTGTACCAAGTTAGGAACTTCATCCCAGGATCTCATCAAATATGTCCAAGAATACCGTGTATAATTATCCACAAACAAGAGGAAATAATGGTAACCACCCATAGAAGGAATATGATATGGTCCCCATACATCAATGTGAATAACATAAAAAGCAAAAGCACTTCTTTTATTAATTGGTTTAAAAAAATGTCTATAATGTTTTCCAACTGACAACACTCACACTCCAAGGTAGATAACTGGACAAACTCAAACARCTTTGGAAAAATAAATTTTAATGAACTAAAAGAAAGATGACCCAACCGATTATGCTAGAGCATAATTTGATTCATTGACTCTGATCCACTACTATTGTTGCTGCTAACATGGTGGCTCTGATGTCTCGGAATCTCATCTAGAAGGTTGACTCCATTCACCTCATGACCACTCCCAATCATCTTCTTTGACTCCAGATCTTGCAAAACACAATTACCAGGAAGAAAGGTCACCGAACAATTCAATTTATTTGTTAAAGAACTAACATAAAGTAGGTTGGTATGAAGTTTAGGGACATGTAGGACAGAGGATAAAGTAATGTCATCGGTCATTCTAACTGTCCCCTTCCCAGCAATGGGAATATGTGAACCATCTGCTGTAGAGACTGTCTCTACTAGAGTACAACTAATAAGAACTGAAAAGGGTAGGTACATTAGTCATGTGCTTAGATGCTCCTAAGTCTATAATTCAGGGAGGTCCCTCCTTACCTAAAGAGGATGCAAAATTTGTAGTTGCATATGAACTACCTGTATGAGCAAAAGAAGTGGTGTAGTTGGCTCCTGCACTCTGTTGTCCATCTGAAAGGCAAGAACTAGTTGTATCTTCTTACTCATAAGCTGTCCAAACCTCTCCAACTCTGTTCTAACTGTTGCTACTGCAATGGATTCCCAATCAGTTTGGGAAAAGGGTGCTGAAGAGTCTCCTGTAGTGGCCACATTTGCATTTCCCTTCTTGTTCTTGATCCGAGTAGGTATGAGATGTGGATGGAGCTTCTAACAAGTGTTTGGTATGCTTAGGCTTCTTATAATAATTACACACCAAGTCCCTTCTTATCCTCCCTCCTAGTTTCACTGCTCCCCCTGTCTCCATTCGACTTAGGTTTGGTTGTAGTAACCATAGTAGACTGTAGGGGTGGCAACGAGTCGAGCTCTTCACGAGCTACTCGAGTTCGGCTCGGTTTCAAGCGAGCTTTGAGCCGAGCTTGAGCCCAATTCACAGGATCGATTAAGAAACGAGCTGAGCTCGAGTCTAATAGAGCTCGGCTCGCGAGCCGGCTTGAATATATATATATATAATAAAAAATTATAGAAAAAAATTATATATAAATTATAGAGAATAATATATATAATAAAAATGTTATAATTCTTAATTTTTTAAATATCAAATAAAAAATATTTTTATATATAATTTTTTATTTTATAAAACATTTTTTCTCAAAATCGAGCTTGATTTAAGCTGAGATCAAACTTACGAGTTTTTGACTCGAGCCAAGCTCGAGCTCAAGCCTTGTAGAACAGTCTCGAGCTGAGCTCAAGCCTTGTACTATTCGGCTCGGCTTGGCTCGACTCTAATCCACCCCTAGCAGACTGGTCAATCCCAGGCTGTCTCAACATGACATTCCTCCTGCTCTCTTCTCCAGAAACAAAGGCATAGGCTTGAGAGAGTGTCACACTCTCCCTAGAAAGGATATGCTGCCTAGCAATGTCGAATTTAGGGTTCAGTCCTGCCAAGAACCCAAAAACCCTATTTTTCTCTACCAGTTTCTGATAAGTTGCTGCATCATTTATACTTTCCCACATCATAGTTTCAAAGTGATCGATCTCCTGCCAAAGGGTTTTCAACATGGCGAAATAAATGGCAAGAGGTTTATCTCCCTGTTTTATAGTAATCACCTGATTCCTTAACCGATAGGCTCTGGCTACATTTTGCTTATGAGAATAGGTTTTAGTCACTCCATCTCAAATCTCCTTTGCAGTATTAGCCCATAGAAAATTTTTGCCAATATGAGGTAACATAGAATTACATAGCCAGGACATCACCATGTAATTCTCCTGTACCCATCGAGAAGAATCTATATTAGGTTTCTTCTCCTCCCCAGTGATGTACCCTAATTTTCCACAGGCACCAATGGTTTGGCTGATTGTGCCCATTCTAAATAGTTTGTACCATCAAGCTTTATTGTAGTAATGATTCCAGACCAAAAAATATCACTACTATCTCCAATGCCCAGTCCCATGGTACCGGTGGATTTCAGCTCGGTACTCCAACCTTCCATCTTACTTCAAACAATTTAATAGTAAGAAAGAAATAGGTTGAGAGCCTCCAAGAACAATTCAAAACCACACACAGTAACAAACCCTTCTGCAAGAAGAAAACTCTATCTGGAGAGAAATCTCTCTCCTCCCAACGTCTCCCAACAGAGAGAAGAGTGAATCGGCCACTCCAAGAGGCCTAGAAAACTCCAGAAACCTAACCACCCTCTACAGAAAAAAAAAGAAATCTAACGATATCTGAGTGCCCAAGATCAGATTAAAAACCAAGAGTCCAGCTTTTCTAGGACTCTTCCCTGTATTCCAGTTCTTCTTGATTTTGATGCCAAAATGAAGATCACCTTCCTGATGACTAGATCCCACCAAAAAATCCAAGAACTGGGCAATCTACAGTAGATCGATCAGCCTTTTATTACTTCATGCAGTTGGCCAATCTAGGGCTGCATGAGAATGCTTCAAGAACCCTAGCCGAAGTTCTGATGAATTAAAAAATATATGAAAGAAAAGAGAATTTTCTTGAAGAGAGAAGGAAGAGAGAAGAAGAGGACTTGAGAAAGAAAAGAAGCAATAATATGGCCRCCCCCTTCACTTAATATTTATATTAGAAATATAAGAGGAGTACAAAGACTACTATGCCCTTATAGGGCGGAAAAACATTAAAAAGCACATAAAAGACTCAAATAAATAATAAAATTTGGACTCACATAACTGCTGTGGTCCTCACTTCCTATCTAACAATTAACATAAAACTGCTACTCTTAAAACAACACAAAACTGACTATATCTTCAACACATCTTCAATCTTTTGATAGCGTTTTCCCTCCTTGCACTTACCATTTTGTGGGAGAACTTAGTAACTTTGTCTCCCTTTTGCAACCATAAAACCAGCAACCTCTGCCTCCATTGATCTCCTCTTGATATGCCAATTTGTCAAAATGCTGCTTTGCTTGGGATAAGGGATCTGATTGTTGAAAACTGGGGTCAATCTGGACAGTTATCATCATCATCTATACTTGTCCGTGTTAGTTTTGTCCTCAAAACCTGATGCAGGTAACTTGCTATACTTCAAATTTTTCTCTAGCATACTACTTAATGAGACAATCACATTCTATTGACATAGTACTGACTTTTTATTGATCCCTATCATGTGGTTTCATTTCTGTAGTATGAGAAAGAGATTAATGGGCCGTTTGGTAACACAGATGAAATGGGTGAAATGAAAAACTTATTGCTTGGTCCTTTAGTGAACAAGTTTTTAAGAGCTGTGGGTTCTTAATGGCTGAAGCTGAAATTGGGTAGATTACTATACCCTTGAATATTTTATTGTTTAATAATCTTATCTTCTAAAAAGACAAAGTAATAAGTCATTTGTTCAAAAACTTCAGCAGTTATCAAACAGTAATAATTTTAGAAAGAGATATTTTTGTACTTAAATTACTCTCTGTTTACTGATAAAAATGTTGCTTTCTGTTTTGGATGTAGAGGCTAGTATGGTTAGGAGCTTTCTTAGGGACCTGGCTACCCTGTCTTTGTACATATCTATAATTGCACTTCTTAATAAAATTCTTGATTACTCATCAAGAAAAGAAAAAAATCCCAACTTTACATGCCTGATAGTTAATTATTCATGTAGAAAAATTTATCAGCTCTTTCTGTATTGCACTTACAGATTTTGCATTACTACTTAAATGTTTGGTACTTTGAAATTTGAAATCCATGTGCATTTCATATTTGTATTCTTGCACTTTTAGGGAGAGCAAAAATCACCTGGAATCATTCCCTTGGCGGTGAAAGATGTTTTTGGAATTATACAAGAGGTAGAGTGATTTTTAATGGGACAGATGATGGTTTTTAATGCACCTCCCCTTCTGTAACTAACATAAGTTGACATATGTCTTAGACTCCTGGGCGGGAATTTCTTCTTCGTGTTTCTTATCTGGAAATATACAATGAGGTCAGCACATTTCTATTTTGATCTTGGTGGCATTTATTTGCTTAATGCTCATGTTTTCTTCCTATTCAACTGAATTTCTCTGTTTCTGTTAAGAACGAGGAAGGTGTTGTTTAATAAAAAGCTGAAAATCCAAAATGATGGTTATAAGTTATTGGCTATGATTCTATTTGTAGACATTTCATTAAAGAAACAGATTTTTGCCCACATTATAGCCACATTTTCATTTACAATTTCCTCGTACTGAATACATGGTTATTGCATATCTGCATCATATTGTTGGAGATTTATGTCTTTCCAGGACCTTGGGAAATGTAGAATTGTTATTTTTGATAGGTAATGGTAATATCTCCTCATAGTTTGGGAATGGTAATGACAATATTTGTAATGGTAAATATTTGGTAGGTGCAGAATTATAAATTAGATTAAGATTACTATATTGGAATGAATTGAGTTAGGCTGAGATCAGTTTGGGCTAAGTAAGCTTGTTCTCTGGATGTGCTTAAGCTGATCTTGGCATGGCCCAACCCCAACCCCAACTAAGTAAGCTTGTTCTCTGGATGTACTATTTTCTAATGTGCTATTATTTAATCTTTAATGTTTAATTCTTTTTTCCAGGTTATTAATGACTTGCTTGATCCCACAGGGCAGAATCTAAGAATACGGGAAGATGCTCAGGTACTTCTTTTTATATGCATATAACATATCATCCCCTGGTTGAAGATGGGGCATTATATCTACTTGACTGAATCCATAAGCGTGTGGATGGTCATTGAGGCAATAAAACAGAACAAGTTGATGATTTCTCATTTCCATCTTCCTTTTCTTAGTTAGAAATATAGCATTAATTAAGAACTTGATTTATTCATGGACATGAAGAGGGTGGAGAAGCTTCAGTGATTTTTGAAATTGGAGGCTGGGCAGTTAAGGTATCTTGAGACTTGAGAGGAGCAAGGAAGTGATAGGTGGTGTTTTTTTTTATGTTTTTTAATTTTTTGATTGGTAACAGGTGGGATTTTATTAATTACTATCAAAAGAACGAATATGTACATGAGGTCCAAGCACCCCAAGATATAGGTTAGGAGTTGCCACTTATCCATTTTAAAGAAATTAGGCAATATGAACATCATGGAACTTACATCCACTAAGATAGCTAGTCTTCTTACATTTACAGTGTATAATATCATACCCCTTAGAATCCCCCCAAAACAACCAACTTTGATTTTATTAACCCCTAATTTGTCTAATCCATCAGCCATATTGTTTGCTGACCTTGGAGTTTGAATGTATGTAGTTCTCAATTCTGCTGCTAGATTTTTTATCTCCCTCATCATATACTGTTTCTCCAAGCTCCAATCTCCTCATTCTTCGACCACCTATAATAATCTGTGCATCCCCTTCTATCAAAATATCCTTGAAGTTCAGAGATTTGGCCAGCTGAAGCCCTTGTACTACTGCCATGGTTTCTGCCATTTTTGAATCACCAGCCTGAATAAACTGCCAATTGGCTTCCCCTCGAATTTCTAAAAATGCCTCCTATACCAGATGTGACTGGGTTGCTAATACTACAGTCATCAACACTCAGTTTGGTTCAATTTGGGTTTGGAGGTGACCAAATTAGACTCTGCACTGTTCTAGATGCGGAGGAACATGACACCTGTTGCCAGTTTGTTATAATGTCGTCAGTTTTGAAGTGTTTGAAGACTTCTAAAGTCATGACCCAATGGATTACTTCTCCTAACATTTTCAATAATCACTTCAACTGAACAGCCTTTTTTTATGTAAGATTTGTGCATTTGTCTCCTCTCATAAGCACTGATGGCTACCCTAGCACACCTCCACAAAATTCTGTCTCTCCTCTTAGGTGGTCAAAACAAGCTGATCAAATTATTTGATGGAGTACATCTGGGCCAAACAGGGAAAAGAAAAAGCCCCAAATACTTGCTGCAAAATGGTGGGAGATTAGCAGGTGGAAAACCGTTTCACTACTTGCTTTTCAAAGAGTGCACACATACAGAAATCCTGCAAATTTTTATTCTTATCTTCTTTTTCTCCTTTAATACCTTATCTATTTCTGACTTGGGCATTAAAACAAGCATTTGGAGTGGGCCTTACTTTGGACAAGTATATCTTATTAGGTCTCTCCCTCACCCTGATTCCTTATTTTTCTTTTCTGTGCCTAGTCTATAGCCTTCTATTTCTCAAATGTCAAATTCTGTTAGTTTTCCTGTTTTCTGAATGTATGGAGTGTTTATGATGGGCAGGGAACTTACGTTGAGGGCATTAAAGAGGAAGTTGTTCTCTCCCCTGCTCATGCCCTTTCTTTGATAGCATCTGGGGAAGGTACTTGAACTTTGTCTGCTATCTCAAAGATGGAATGTTACATTTGTCTAGATGAAAATGTTCATTAAGGTTTCTTTGGAAAATACTCTCTTATTTTTTCTGTGGTTATCTGCCTCATTCCTTGAATGTTTTTTAATAATAAAAGAAAAAATCATAAAAAGAAAAGAAAGTATACAAGAAGCATACAAACTTTGCAAGCCAAGCACCTCCAACAGAAAGCACCTTAGGATTAAACTACAACATTACAATTCAAGCATCTTATTCTTTTTTTAATTGGTAACCACAAAATTTATTAGTGTATAAAGAAATGGTGTACAATATAAATGTGCCAAGCACCCTTTAATGTGATATGCTAGCTTCAACTACCTAACCCCAATATAGATCTCCTAATTACCTTCAATTTTTATGGGGCATGATACCCCAATAAGAACTCTCCTATTTATCCCTTGACTAGCTAATGCATCAGCTAAGCTATTGGCTGATCTTTGGGCCCAACCTCCAGGAAAATATTACCCATAACTCCTTTACCACCAGTTATGTTTCTCCCGAGATATACCTATAAATCTAAGAACCACTGCTGTTATTTTGAGTTGCAATTCCCTTTGTKTTGTTACCTTCATATTATTCCAAGTTTCCAACTTTCTTTTCTTTTGTTGTGCATTGACATTTACTAACATACTTGCGATTTGTAATGTTTTAGCAGAGCACAGGCATGTGGGTTCTAACAACTTTAATTTACTTAGCAGTCGGAGCCACACTATTTTTACTTTGGTAATAATTCCTGATCACCATATTTCAATAAATGTCATTTTTCCATGCTTAGCAATGACAAAGGTTCTGATTCTCATAGCATTGACTGTTTAGTTTTGGTTTTTTTTACTGCCTAATCCAGTAGAATCAAGAAACTTCACAACCAGTTCTTAGTAATTATAAATATAAGGATGGCTCTAGTCTTCTAAAGCCTGATCAAATTGATGCATCCATCTCTGCTGTCATCCTAAATCTTGGATTTTATTGTAGTATGCATCTCCTGAAGTCATTTTTTTTCCAAGATGCAATGTGTATTAAGCAATACTATTCTTTTTAGAGCATTACTAGATGGTATGTATGCCACATCTTTTTCAAGTTTTCTATTGGTGACTAGGTGGGGAAGAGATGCAGTAGAGGGGTTTTGTGTTATCGATGCGAAAAGGAAAGGGGAAAAGATATTTACATGTCCTAATATATATATATATATATATATATTTCTATGTACATATATGTATGGATGTATGTATGAATCAATCAGTCTTTCTATATTTGTGTGTGTGTGTGGGAATGCGTTAGTTGTGATATTTTGATTTCAATTTTGGTGCTTCTTAACCTAAATGTAGATTAATGTACTGGTATATTTTATCGTCAGACTATTGAAAGCAGCCCACATGGTGAAAATCAAGGGGAGGAAGATGTGACCTTGTCTCAATTGGTAATTGGTTCTCATACCACAAACTACTTGCTATATGTCTGTCTTTTTCTTCACATTTCAATATTGAGGTAGTGGTTTTAATGATGTCAACTATTTGTGTTTGTGCATGCTTACACTATTGACTCTCTTTTTCTCTTTTGTTTTCTTTGGGAATAGTGTATTTGGTCCCTTGTATGATTGCTTTCCTTTTTTGCAGAATTTAATTGACCTTGCGGGGTCTGAAAGTTCTAAAACTGAAACTACTGGATTGCGGAGAAAAGAAGGCTCATATATAAACAAAAGCTTGCTTACTCTAGGGACTGTAAGTTGTTGATACTTTTGTTACTTGTGTTTTTTCTTCCTGATAACCTGTGCTCCACAATTATCTTATAATCTAGAACTAGCAGGGCCCTGTGCGATGCATGGGAAAATTAGAAAGTTGCTACACAACCAGGGGATCATCCCCCAAATCCATAAATCCCCCCAACCCTAGTGTAAGCTGGATTCAATCCTAAGCCTCTACTACAACCATCAGGAGACCTTACCAATCAACCACTTGACACTTCGGCATGGGATGTTTAAAACTAAATTAATAAATAATCTTTATTTATTGTCGTTTTTTTTTTGATAAGTAAAAATTCTTTAATGGTTCATTAAACCAGTAAAGATAAGCAACTGTTACAAGCTTCCCTGATGGAGGCACGAGGTGCAGAACTGCAGCCTAACTCATAAAGAAAAAAAACAGCACAAGAATTACAACTGAGCCCAACACAACTGATCCCTAGTTACCTATTGCTTAGCTAATGAATCAGCCAGAGCATTAGCCTCCCTCCCCACCCATTGTATAATCAAAACTCATCTGCTGTGTTTTTTTTTTTTTTGATGAATAACCATCTGAACTCTTCATTTCGTCTTGATAGCACCAAATCACTGAATCCAGGTCTTTTAGCCAGCCCACCACCACCTTGGAATCCCCTTCAATCACCAGGTTTTCCATGTTCATCTCTTTTGCAATCTGAACACCTTGTAGGACTGCAAACAGTTCAGCCCTTATGGAGTTTTCATTCCCCACCGGTCCTGAAAAAAAGTGCTACCAGATTCCCTTCCCTATCTCTTATGACCCCTCCAATTCCAGAAGTACTCCCATTAAAATTTAATTTCAAGAAACCTTCACCAGGAGGTACCCATATCAACCTTGTTTTAGCGTTTTGTACTGAATTAGTAGCCACTGACAACCGGTCCCTCCAAATATCATCAAAGGAGAACTGTCTAAACAGATCCAAAGTTAGTAGCCAATGTATAACATTGGTCAATACACAGTCCATAATTTCTTGTTTGCTTCTTTGCTTCTCTTGGAAGATCCTAGCATTTCTTTCCTCCCATAAGGTCTAAATCACTGATGCTCTAGTGCATCTCCACATTATTCTTCCCCTTCTCTTTGGCCACACAAAGGTAGATGGATCAAACAGTATCTTAATCTCCATTGGCATGTTCCACCTGCACCCTAACAAAGAGAAAAACCAATCCCAAATATCTGTAACAAAGGAACAAGAGATCAATAAGTGGTAACAAGATTCACCATCAGATTTACATAGAGTGCACCAGTTTGGAGAAATACACAAAAAGGCCTCTTCTTTTGGAGTAATCCAGAGTATTAACTTTCCCATGAGCCACTTCCCAACTAAAAGCATTAATTTTAGGAGGAATCGGTTGRCACCAAACTTCCTTTGTAAGAAAGGAAAGAGGGATAGGGGACTGATAAAGAGCATTAAAAAAAGAGGCACAGGAAAGGAGACCTTTAGAATTTGGGCACCAAACCCTTCTATCCAGATTTGGAGGCTCTAAGCAGACTCTTCAAGAGCAACAAAAACTCTCACAAATAGGTGACTTCATCCCTCAATCCCCTTCAAAACCCAAAATCCCATTTATGACCCAAAGGCAAAATAGGAGGGGTTAAAACAATTGTACAAGGAGATGGAATATAGAGAAGGAAACAAATCCTTTAGAGGCTGGTCACTCAACCAAATGTCTTCCCAGAAGCGAATTAAATTACCTGAATAGACATCATACCTGATAAACCTGAGGAAATGAGGAAGGACGCTATGGATTGCTTTCCAAGGTGCTGCTAAAGTAGCCCAATGTGATACACCAGCATCCCAACTACTCCCGGTCTTCCATGAATATGGTCCAGAGTAGCTCAACTTTTTGAGGTGGAAAGCTGTTGTCAAGGATTAGTAGTGGAGTTTATAAATGGTTGGAGGGTGGACGGTTTGAGCAAAGAGGAAAATTGATCTGGAACATAGTCTCAGCAGTGGTGTTTTGGTGCTTATGGCAGGGGAGAACACAAGAATCTTCAAAAATATGAGTAGCTCTTCAGATTCTGTTTTTCAGAAAATTTTGGGAAAAATGCATTCCTGGCTTATGGGCCATTTGCACTTTAAGAATACAAGTTTCAGTTCCCTTTTTGCATATGAAAATCTTTTTTTTTTTTTATTTATTTTAAACAGGGTGGGGGGTATAGTGCTGCCAGGGAAGTTTTTTGATCAGTCTCTGTGTACATCATCTTGTTGTATATGTTTGGTTTTCTTGATATGATTCTTGCTTTACCTTGTCTCAAAAAAAAAAAAAGAAAAAAGTTGAGCGCTGTTCACCCCTTGTTTATCCAATTTATCAACCACAGATTTTTTTTTGGAGAGGTAAAGTAAAATTATATTAATAAAAAAAGGTATACAAGTATGTCAGTTCACTTTACAAAAAGATTCTGTACATATGAACACAATTAAGAGCCCCCAAATAAGTCAATGGCCAGAAAAGAAGACAAAAAGGTTGTTTTTAAAATGTAAGTTGATGCTCAACCATCCTCTGAGGTCTTCAACAATTTGATTGATCAGCACCTCTTCCTGAGACTGTTTTTGGTCGAAAATACTCCTGTTCCTTTGCCCCATAGCACAGGCAGGGGAATAGCAGACCATAGAATCCGCCCCTTATTCATTCCTCCAAGTTTCGAACTTTCAAGATGGTATTTGACTGAGTTAGCCAGTTAAGCATGCAGCTTTGAAGAAAAAATGTGACCAGATTCTGGTGGAGAAACTACAGTGGATGAACAAGTGATTAAATGACTGTTTCTTTGTTTCATGGAGCACACATGATGTCAGGCAAGATCAAACCTTTTCTGATCAGCATATCCTTTTGAGGCACCTCCTGATAATTCCTTCTAAAAGAAGGTATCCAGCCACTGAGTCACTGTGGCTAACATAAGAAGCAGCCACTGAAACCTTTGYCAGAAGCCATTGAAAGCAGATCTGGGAAAACTTCCTTAAGGGGCAAGTTTGTGCACCAATTGTGTTTCCAAAACTTCAACCCGTTACCTGCCCCTACCTTGTATTTGATCCCCTTGAGAAAATGAGGATAAGCTTTGTAGATCCCTCTCCATACTCCATAGCCATATGGATGATCAGATTTAGCTGCATCCCAGCCATTGTTTTTGGTAGAAATCAGCAGAAATATAAAAAATTATAGAAAGAGAAGAAAGGAAGAATTTGTGAGAGAAGAGAAGAAGAAGAGAAAGAATGGAGAAAAGGAAGAGAAGCCAATAATGCTGGCTGCCCTCTCCCATTAGCTTTTATATTTTAAATATAAAACAAGTACAAAGATATATGCCCTCAATAGGGTGGCTGGTGCTGACAACTCAAAAAAGAGAGATGAACTACTGCTTAAGTAACTTCTAACCAATAGACTGTGGTCCCAACAAGCTAACTAAACAAAACAAATAAGCAAAAACAAACTATTAATTGCAAAACAACAAAAAATCCTCAACATCCCCCTCAAGTTGGGAGTAAATGTCACACATTCCCAACTTGCCTTGATCATGTTCAAGCTTGCTCTTTGTAACTCCCTAGGTAAAGACATTAGCCATCTGTGAATAAGAAGAGGCATATGGTAGGCAGACTTTTCCAGTTGTTTCCGATTTTATAAAGTGTCTATCAACTTCAATGTACTTAGCACCCAACTCCAGGTCAAAAACAAAGAGTCCAACCTGACTAGGACTCTTCCCCTCACTCTAGTTCTTCCTGATTTTGATGCCAAATCACAAATCACCCTCCTGATGACTGAATCCCACAAAAAAATCCAAGAATTGGGCAATCTATAGATAATCAATCAGCTCTCTATTCCTTCATGCAGTTGGCTGATCTAGGGCTGCATGAATCAGCTTCAAGAAAGCCTAACTAGGATTTGGTAACAAGTAGAAATCAGCCGAAATATAAAAACATTATAGAAAGAGAAGAAAGAAAGGAAGAATTTGTGATAGAAGAGAAGAAGAAGAGAGAGAATGGAGAAAAGGAAGAGAACCGAATGCTCACTCCTTTAAGTAAAAAACAAGTACGAAGACATATATGCCCTTTAATGAAATTCGATTTTAACCGAAATGACCGAAAACCGAACAAAAAATTTTGGTTTTCCTATAATTCGGTTTTGGTTTGGTTTTCACTTTTTAATTTTGGTTTATTTGGTTAATCTGAAATGCTCACTCCTTTACTTGACTATCTATTTAGTATTTGCAATACCATGTATTGCTTGCCATGGGGTTGTATTGGAGATCATTGTTAATTGAATTAGCTTGAGCACTCTTATAGCCTGATGAACAGTCATTTATTAATTGTACATTCTTGCAGGTGATTTCTAAATTAACAGATGGCAAGGCTACACATATTCCTTATCGAGATTCAAAACTTACCCGTTTGCTACAGTCTTCTCTTAGTGGTCACGGAAGAATTTCTGTAAGTATATTTCGTTAAGGCTATATTTAAATATTGGTAAACCAAAATGCCACTGGAATTATCTGCTTCAAGTTGCATTTGATTTATCTTTCTGTGTCATGGGAATTAACTAGTTCCTGCAGAACAAATAGAGAATTGAAAAGATAGAAAAAGAAACTTTCTGTTGTCCAATGTTTAGCTCCATGGACATGGACATGATCATGGTTTTACATCTTGGTTGAAGCCTTAAGGCAAGACTTCCCTGGATTTCTTAATGTATTAGTGCTAATAGGTTTTTTGTTTGTTTGGTTCATTTGAGTATGTTTGAATGAAGAATGTCACAGATCTGATACACAAGCTACACAGTTCTGACTGTGTAGTTTTTTTGCGGATGGGTTGGCCAAGCAAGGGGTGAATAGGGAGTTGATCTTTTGGGCTAATTTTTAGTTTTCTTTCATTGTATTCTGTTAATGGGGAGCTAAGATATTTTATCTCCCCTCTTGTATCCATAATCTCACTTTTTTCTTATTGTTAATGAAGCTGTTGTTATTGATAAAAAAAGAAAAAACTACACAGTTCTGACATGAACAATCAAATACTTTGGTTTGTAGATTTATTTCTAAACAAGAACAAAAGGCCAAAAAAACGAAAGAAAATCTGGTGTAGGAAAATATTTATTTTGGGAGCTTGCATTATTTGCATTATTTTTCTTCTAGTTCTTTCCTTCTTGCCCGACTTAAAGCTAGGAAAGGAAGCACAACTTGCTTGGACTTGAAGATAGTTTTAAGGATAAGGTGGCAAGATTGCTTATTTAAGACCTGCCTGCAAGGCTGTGCTAAAAATAGACATCATCATTTATATTTTGTTAGAAGGACTCCCTTTAGAAATTAAGCCAAATAAGAAGATTAAAAATAATATAAAGAGGTAGTTGTACAATGTATAACGTGTCTCATTTATATGAATTTGGGTCCACCGGTAATTGACTTTCACTGAGGAGATTGGGAAAAATCAGCATAAATGTTTTGTAATGATTTGGCTTTTAGAGCATCCAGTATGGCTTTTCTCTTTTGCAGTCCAAATTAATATAGTGATTGTAAAAGGTTGCAATTATCAAATCATGCTGATTTTGGCCTTTGCAATCTCTTAGGTGTGATCCATTCAGTGATTTGCCATGAGAAACATGTTTTTGATGCAAGGTTCCAGATTGGGGTTATTTCTTGTAGCTCCAGTCTCAAGATATATGCACATGTAAAAATTAGATCTATATACTTACAACACTGTACATATATTATTATGTAATATCAAAATTATTCTACACAACCTGTGTTAGGTGAACTCGGTGCAAGGTCTTCAATTTTGGGATATCATATGAATGGTTTTTATTGAACAGAAGTCATCTTATTTATGTTTCACTGTGACCTTAAAGTTTCAGATGTGTAAGCTTTTGCTGCTTGCCATTGAATTCTTGTATTTTATGACAAATTTTTCTTTTCATTATATTATTTGTTCTTAAGGCTCAGTTCCGGAAGAGTACAAATACAAATATGTACAGTGCAAAAGCATGTATTTTGTATTTCTAAACCTTGTTTTGCACTGTACATATTTGTATTTGTACTCCCAGACTGAGCCCAAGTGTCTGGTGATGCTTATTTAATGATTTCATACAATCATAATAGATTTTCAGAGTTTCCATAATTTTTCAATAATCATAATACAATGTTTATATCAACTTAAACAAAATGGACTTTGGAGGTTGATTGTGGAGAGGAATTTTGATGATGCTAAGTTGCTAACCATGACACAAACCTGATACAGCACAAGTCAAGTAATTCTTGTGGAGATGCAGATATAACAATTAACAAAAATGACATTCTTCATTGAATCCTTTTTCATGAAAACTGATGTTATGTGTCAAATCTAATGAGACATGTTCTTTAACAATGTCTTTTTTTGACTTCTCCTTTGTAGCTTATCTGTACCGTGACACCTGCATCTAGTAATAGTGAAGAGACGCACAATACATTAAAATTTGCACATAAGTGCAAGCATGTGGAGATTAAAGCTTCTCAAAATAAGGTAAGGTTTGCAGATTAATATAGTGTTTTGAGTGAAGGCAATTGATTAATTAATTTCTACATTTTGCACTGTTAGATTATGGATGAGAAGTCTCTCATTAAGAAGTATCAGCGGGAAATTTCCAGCTTAAAGCAAGAGCTCCAGCAATTAAAGCGTGGTATGATGGAAAACCCATATTTGGTTTCATCCAACCAAGAAGATCTGCTTAATTTAAAGCTTCAGGTTTGTGCAAATAATGATAGCAGATGATGCTTTTTTAGTTATTGCAGAATTTTTTTCTTACAATTTTATTTTTATTTTTTATCTTTAAGGGGCCATTACTTGGTGCAGTGGAAAAATTTTGGCCTGACAAGGGTGAGCATGCTGGTTTGAGTTTGAAAGTGGCCACTTTGTGCAAAAAATGCCAAAGATGGGGTCGGTATTCGRTGCATGCTTCCCGAGACCCTTGATGGCTTGGGCTAAAATTGGGCGGTGGTCCTTTTAACATTTTTTTGTAATGAGCTGAAGTTGTATCTAAGATTAAGAAAATGAGTTTAGTGGTCAATACAAGATCCAATGTAGTTTCATGATAGTCCAGTAACTATTTGTGGTACTTTATGCTTTCAGCTTGACCCCTAAACCTCCATCTTGAACATATGCAACAAGCAGTATGAATTATATGGTTTCTATTGTTATTTGCCTTATTACATTCATGATAAATTCTTTATTTTTATGTATTTGTTTTAAATGATCCAAAAGCTCGAAGCTGGTCAAGTCAAATTGCAGTCCAGATTGGAAGAGGAGGAACAAGCTAAGGCAGCTTTGATGGGAAGAATTCAAAGGTTGACAAAGCTAATATTGGTTTCCACAAAAAATACAATATCATCAAGTATTCCTGAGAAGGCTGGCCATAGAAGAAGGCACTCCTTTGGAGAAGATGAGGTCTTTGTCTGTGCTTTTTCATATTTTGAACTAATAGCTGTACGATAGATAAAAGAATTTATCTATATTATCTATATTTGACAATTTTGATGTCTTTTCTATCTTAACCTAACTAAATCAGTCAGTGCTAATATTTTCTCATTGATTATCTTTTGTACTAAATTATGCCTTTTATGCAGCTCGCATATTTGCCAGATAGAAAACGGGAATACATGATTGATGAGGATGCAGGTAGCCTTGATTCAGAGTTTTCAGCAGAAGGAAGATGTGATGCCAGTAATCTGGATGAGTTGGTTAAGGATGACAGAAAGAATAGAAAGCGCGGAATGCTTGGCTGGTTTAAGCTGAAGGTAATTTTCTTCCTTTTTTTTCTTTGGAATTTGGGTTGCAAATGGGAAAGTTAGATAACAGAAGTTATAAAAAAAAGAGTTAGATAATAGAAATTGAAAGAAGAAAGGATAGGAAAAGGAGTTTAGGTATATACTAGCTGGCATCTCCTTGTGATCTTATTTATAGTCTTTCTAATTAATAGCCAGAAGCTTTACTAATGAATTAACAGTAAAGAGTAGAGTTGGCCAGGCTCCATAGAGAGTGAAACAAGACAACAATGCCTCAACATCAAGTGGATATTGGTGATTCAGTACAGGAAGAGATACCAACGGTATTACAAGCAACAAAACTTCAAGAAGATCAAGATAGAGTGGGGTTCCAAGACTCTAGCAAGCTGGCAGAAGAGCAAAAGTCAAGGAGTTTGTGTCTATAGTAGACAAACCATAAGGGAAACCAAATGTCTTGTAAAGGAGGTGGAAGCAATATTTAAGTTGATGAAAACAATGGAAAATGGTGTATCAGATATGCTAGCTAAGTTAGGGACTAATAGGGAATGGCTTCCTGGGTGGTTATGTGAGTTTTAATGGAAAGGGTTAGGTTGGTTTCCAGCCAATAGCAGGGGATGTGAGGCATGTTGTACATAATATTCTCTATTGAAATTTATAAAATCACACAGTTACCAATCAAAGAATTTGGTAATCTGTGCTAAGAAGAACATATGACCAAGTGATTAGGCAAACTCCCCCTCCCCCAAATTTTCTTTTGATTTGCACTATATATTAAGGCTTTAATTATTTGTTTTTTTTAGCCTGTGGGTTGTTGTGATTAATGTATTTTCAGAATGCTTTCATAGTCATGCTAAATCATGTTTTTCCTTTTCATCTTATTGAAGCAATGGTTTACTTTTATGAACTCCAACTGATATAACTTGTGAATGTGCAATTATGCACATTCAATGGCTTACAATGCAGAAGCCTGAGCACCTTAATGGATTATCACCTATTGTTGATAGTGAAAGTTCTGCTAGTGGATCACCTGCATCATCACGGCCATTGCAACATAAAATTCAATTGGGGGACATGAAAGAGGGGAGGAGAAAATCAGTGAGTAGAAGGGGTGATGATCATCCAATTATTGATTCATTTCCAGAAAGAACCCAAGCAGGTGACTTATTTAGTGCAACTGTTAGAGGGCGCCGTTTGCCACCAGTAAGAGATAACTCCTAAATATTATTTTCCCATTACTTCATATTGTGGCACTGATAGAAGCATGTTAAGAGGAAAAACATTTAATATTCCTATCTTACATGCTCTTGATTTTATTATTATTATTATTATTATTATTATTATTATTTGGGTATGGATGTGTTTCCTCGTTTAATATGTGAAATTAGACTCTCGTGCATTTTAGTTTTCTCATTGCATATTGTCGTGGATGTTGGGCTTGGCTTTACGAAGTTTTTTTTCCTCCTTTCTTTCTTTTTGTCCCATGAACTAATATAGTTAATAGAATTCATGTGGAGAAAGTGAATCGTTGCTTGAAGGTTGAAGACGATGGGAGGGAAAGGTTAAGGGGTAATGAGGTAATTTTGAGAGAGATTGAGGTGTTAACTAAGAGGCATGTGGAGGGAGATGGAGAGGAAGGTTCAGATGGCTGTGTTCAGATGGCTGTGATTGGGAGTGGGGACCACTCTTCAATTTTGAAAAAAAAAGGGTACTAAAGAATGATGGTTGTCTTGATAAAGGTCATTAAAGGGAGAGGCTTCAAGTTTAAGCGTTTGTCCTGATGAGAAGAAAAGGCATTTCGAAAGGTCAAAAAGGAAAGGTTGAAGACTGGGTTTGGGTGGTGGTGAGATATGATAGCAGTGGAAAGAAGAACTTGGTTTTGAAGGTTGCAGTGGATTGAGATGGTCCTGAGAAGCTTTTAAGCTCTGATTGCCACAACTATAGCTTGTAATTTCGATATTGGTGAATGTTTCACCATATAGAATTGAATAAATTTTGGAGATATTTTACTAATTTTGCTAAGATATTTGGAAAATCTAAAAAGTCAAGAAAATTAGTTAACATATCTTCAAAAGATCATTAGAAGAAATCAAGGAAATCAAGGTTTGAAATTTTGTAACATATCGGTTTGTATATGTTGTGCTTCACTAAAGGTTTGATATGAGGAGCATATAGAATTTTTATGTTCCATTTCTTTTTGTCAATATCGAGCTGATACAGACCTGTATCGGGCTCGGATTGGCCGATATAGACCCAAAATGGTATATGCTATATGTATCAGCCAATACAATGCAAATTTAATATTTTCTCTCACTTCTCAATTTCAAATTTATTTCCCTCTTTCCCTCTCAATTTTAGTAACTTTTCAAATTCAAATTTAATTCACATCACCCTTAATTAAGTGTTACATTTAATGACACCATAGTTTTCAAGGCACCAAGGTGAACCTAGGCGTCAAGGGAGCACTTAGTTGCTTGGTTGCCTAGGCGTGCCTAGGCATTGCTTATGTCTAAAAAAGTAGAACAAAAAGGGGTATTTTTTCCATTGGAATAGAAGTAAAATAAGGGCAGAGTCCCTATTCTTGTCTTAGAATAAAGAAAGCATGAAAGAAAAATCTCAAAAATGATTGCACTGAATTCACTCTCACTCACTCATCCAATCTCTGAGACGATTAAGTAGTTTGGAGCTCTTAGCTGTTGTGTTGCCCAGATAGATATAATCAATAATGACTTTATCTAGAGCTCTAGCTTCATCTGTTGTGCGCTTGTTTCATGGACAAGGCTGTAGGTGATTGTCTCCTTACATGTAAAATAGCGATTTTATGCATTAAGATGGAGTAAGGAACCATAATCAACCAAGTTTCATAGACAAGGCTGTAGATGGTTATCTCCTTACATGTGTTTCAATATGAGGCAAGGAAGAAAAGAAAGAAAAAAATAAGGGAAGAAAGAAAGGAGTGAGAGGAATAGAAAGAATATAGTCCTCCATCTTATGTAGGAGGGACAAAGAATATCATAGTGAAAGGGGTGTAGGAAGAAAACCCAATTCCCTACCTTCCTCTTCCTTTTTTTATGCTCTTCACACCAATCTTCTTCTCTTCTCTTCCTACTTGCTTCTTTGTGCTAGAAATCTTGCAGATAAACTAGTATTAGCCAACAAAATGGCATTAGGCCCTCTCCTTGTAGGAGAGGGGTTTATATTAGAGGAGGGAGGTGGTTAACTAACTCCCCACCCCTCTCTTCTTAGGATGCCAAGTGTCACTCCACTTAAAATGGGTTAAGGAGGGAGAAAACTCTTCCTTCCTAGGGTGACATGTGTCCCCCCGCCCCCCACTTAAAGTGGTTTAAGGAGGGAAGATAACTCCCTCTTCTTAGGGTGACATGTGTCACCCACTTAAAGTGGTTAGAGGAGGGAAAATAACTCTCCCCTAGGGTACATCTGTCCCCCCACTTCAAGTGGCTAAAGGAGGGAAAATAGCCCTCTTGTTAGAGTAAGACAAGTGGAATCCCCTTTATAAATAAATGGGACACCTCATAAGATTGTTAATTAACATAAATTTAATTTTTTTAGGGCTTGTTGCCCCATTAAATGGGCTTTATTACAGGCTCGTTAAATGCTTATTGCACTATAAATAAGGTCCAATTAACTCAGGGCCTGTTCATTAAACTGGGCTGCATGCCCTTTCTTTCCTAAATTGTTTCAGCCCACCCATAGGACTGACTGGGCTTAAAAGGTCAGGTTGGAAAGAAAGCCCTTTTTTCTCTTTTTTTAAGCTGTGATTGGGAGTAACTTAATAACATGCTCCCAGTCCAGCAAAATTAGGGACTTAACATCAACTATCTCTGGTCATTATAGGATCTACTTTAACTCTTTTTTTGATAGGTAATAGCAGATCAATGGGAGTTTTATCAAATAGTAGTGATGAAAGTTAAAAAAAAAAGAATGTGAATCCTCTTAGACAGTTGGGATTGACACAAAACGTCCTCATCATAGGGGTGAAATCCAATGAACAAGGTAATATATCATTATGTGGGAGAGCAAACTGGTAAGAACCATCTCAAGATGGATGCTTCCCAATATATCTTGGATCTTCCCACCACATATCATGCAAACTATTAGCAAAGGAGTTGGCAAATCTCCAAATCCAGTTAAATGAGATGTTTGTTCTGAATGCTATCTTGCTTCACTGGTGAGATGATGCTGGAGTTGTGGACCCTGAACAGTCTCTGAACCATTGAGCTACCACCATTGCCTTCCATTGCTACCTGCTTGGCACCTTGTGAAAACATCAAAAGAGACCCTGGTGAGAGGATTTTGAATTTTTGACTCTTCTTTGGTTGGGCCTCCTGAGCCAATGGTTCTGCATAGGCTGACACAATTGATGTGGAGTTTGTGAGTTGTCATAATCTTTCTAGTGGAAAAGTATAATGCTGTGTCATATGTATCTAATGGACAGTAGGGACGATCATTTCTATCCCAGCCTGGTCTGCAACATATGTTTATTATGTGTGCGTATTTATATTATGTATTATATACAAATATTACTATATAATACACATATCATATATGATATTATATTATATTAAGTCAAGGTTCAAAGTATCAGTACAGTCTGATATGATGAATTGGGTGTATCAGGTTTTTATTAACATGCTTTTATTTCTTTTAGTTTCTTTTCCAAACATGTTCGGGGGGGGGGGGTGTAAAAGGCCTGGCTACCCCTTGAAACAGGTCTTACCCTGAAACTCCCTCTATTTTGCGTATCAGTGACCCACTGATATGACACACTACGAAATTTGAACCTTGTATTAACTATTAAGTTTACCATATTATATAATATAACAATGCTACTATATTGTGAAGTTGTAGGCCCAGAAGCCCAGCCCAATCCGGACTGGCCTGGCCCATTGTTGCTCCTAAGGCTCAGTTTGGAAAGAATACACATACAAAATAATACAAAATGCAAGGTTTTGTACTCTACATATTTGTATTTGTACTCTTTCCAAATTGAGCCTAATGGACAGTACAATGCTGATGATGTCAATAAATGCCTCTTTTGATGGGTCTGTGTCTGAGAAGATTCTAGCATTACAGAATTGCTTTCCATGCATCTCTAATAGAATCTTCCCTCTTTTTATGGAGGGGGATAGGAAAGAATCACCAAAAGCTTGAGGATGTTGGAAAGTGATGTCCATTTGACATCAAACAAATGTACAAAGTGTCCCCATATTGTTGTAGAATAAGTGGAAGTGGCAAAGAGACAATAGTGGTCTTGTCATGGGTCCCCATGTATCTCTTTTCACCTTAATCTTTTATCACTCATTTAACTTCCCTAAGTCTTTCAAGGATGTTCACTATTGAGATRATTGAATCAAGTCAATCTCATGTTTTACTCTTTTATTGTGGGTTATTGTTTTTGTTATATCGTTTAATGCATATACCTACTTATTGATGTATTTGAACTACCAATTTGGATGAATTGACTAAACACATTCGGGAGGTTCCATGGTGCATGTTGTTTGCTGATGGCATCGCTTTAAAGTTATAAAACCTTTTTTATAGGGATTGAGAATTTAGGACCCTGATATGGACTTGTTTGGGCTTGCCTCAAGGGGCTTGGTTGGGGGTCCGGGAGCAGAGCCCCTGGTCCAGCTGCTAAGCACAAAAAAATGAAAAAGAAAAAAAATGCACATTTTTTCAAAAGGCACATGCCTGTACTGATGCGCAAGGCATACCCTAAGATGGAGGATTTTGTTTGCATGCTGCTGGCCTTCCACTGCTAAGTTATTGTGGCATGCGCTTTGAGGATGAAGAAAGTGCCAAATACCTTTTTCTTCATTGTTATGTGATGATATTGTCTTGGATTCTTCCTTGTCTTACTCAGATGGAGGTGGAGTGTTCCTGTGAGCCCCATGAATTCTGGGAGACTTGGTTGATCCAAGGTTCTTGTTTTTGTATTTTATGAAAGATAGTAGAGTTGGGCAGTTCACTATATATTGAGGACTACTCATCGGGATTAAAAGATCATCTCTGGCGAATTTTCTGGGAAGAGTCCTGAGGTTTTGTGCAGAGTTTGTCTAGCTTCTTACAGATTAAATGCTAATGCTGAAGGATAACTGGTTGATTTTGGGAAAATTTGGGATGATATCCTTGGGGATCTAATTCTTGTGCACTTTTTATTTAGTTTCGGAGGTTGTTTCAACTTCTTCTACTACATATTTCTATGCCACTATATCCTTAATGAAGGTTCTTTCCATTACTGATAAAACAACATTTTATTTGCATTTACAAGTGAAACAATTAGTATGTTCAATTCAGCAGGTTGTATGTGTTCAGTGACTTAAACCTGATATCAGACCAATATAAATAGGTGTTTCATCATATTCAGCTATCGAAGTATAGATGTGATTGCTTGTCTTCTCCTTCTAATTCAGACTGGGACCACTATTACGGATCAAATGGATCTACTCCGAGAGCAAGTGAAAATGTTAGCTGGGGAGGTAGCCTTGTGTACTAGCTCTTTGAAAAGATTGTCAGAGCAAGCAGCCAGCAATCCTGAAGATACAAATATTCGGGCATGCAAATGACCTCAAACTTCTATTCATTTCTCATGCTTTCTATAAGTTTAAACTACTGGTAGTAATTAATGATTGGGTTTGTTATAATAGGAGCATATGCAGAAGTTGAAGGATGAAATCAGTGAAAAGAAGCTTCAAATGCGTGTACTTGAGCAACGGATGCTTGGTTCAATTGAGACAACTCCAAATACATCAAATAGCATTGAAATGTTTCAGGTAACTAAACTATAAAAAAAAGGGTTTCGGGTAACTATATTCCTTGAGGAATGTTTAGGTCTCAACTCATTCTAAGCGGTAGAAAGGAACTTGTTTATTAGAATTGCAAATAAGAAGAGATAGAGAACGATCTGTATCAGTTAGGACATATGTGATGCTTTCACCTTTGGCATTTACATTCATTTTCATGTCTAATGTCATGCTTCATGCTTGTGTATGTTCCTTACTAATATCCATAAAAAAGGCCTGAATTGAGAAATAGGTATTGATTATACCCTTGGAAACTAGAATCTTGAACTAAGTGGCTAGATTGTTCAATCAGAAGGCAGGTTGTGACTTATGAGCATACCTATTTTCTCTATGGCTATTTAGCATTCTAGGAATGCCTTGTTTTCTATTATTATACAGTTATCTATTCTTACTATATCAGATTTGTGGTCTTATGGGTGAGTCAATTTTCTCTTGTAGGCTTTGTCAAAGCTTGCCAGTCAACTAAATGAAAAAACATTTGAGCTTGAGGTTTGTTAGTTCTATTTTTGCTTGGCAACTTCTTCTCTACATAAAAATCATATTATGGATATATTGTTCTTACATATCCTTTTTGACATTTTTATGGAATGGATATTGAAGATTAAATCAGCAGATAATAGGATTCTTCAGGAGCAGCTGCAGATGAAGGTAAAAATAATCAGCAGACAGTGCCTCTTAATACTGGCTTACAGGCATCGTATACTGACAATCCTTCCAAATTGTGTATCAGATCTCTGAGAACAGTGAGATGCAAGAAACAATTCTTTTGCTAAGGCAACAACTCAATTCTTTAGCAGATGGAAGTTCTAGCCATCCAAAACAAATTGCAGATAATGAGGCTACCATGCTTAGGAACTGTTCTGATGAACCATTACAAGAAAATGGTGGATTGAAGGACAAGGTTGGCACATATGAAGAATCCTTCCTTGATGGGAGTACACCCACAAGTGTCATGAACTTGAATGGCATATTCTCTGAAGAAGATTCCAGAGGGTGTAAAAGTGATACATCTTTGAATTCTCAAGTTCTTATGCAGGTCAGCTGCTTAAATTGTTTTCTTTATTATATTGGAGTAACAACTAGGAGTGTAGTCGAGCCAACATAGTTGTCAAGGTGTCGCCTAGGCGACTAGATGCCCTTGTCTGGGCACCTCACCCAAACGCCTTGACTTTTAGCAACTAGGCATCCTTCTAGGCGACCAGGCACCTTCCTAGGCAACTAAGTGCCCGCCTAGGCAACAAAAATGATAAGGTGGGCGCTTTTTATGATATCATTTACATTGTTGTATCTTATTAATGTATGTGTTAATACATTTTATCATATGCTATATATCAACATACTTTGTTTTAATGGCGCCTCACCCAAACGCCTTGACTTTTAGCAACTAGGCGCCTGCCTAGGTGACTAAGTGCCCGCCTAGGCAACAAAAACGATAAGGTGGGAGCATTTTATAATATCATTTACATTGTTGTATCTTATTAATGTATGTGTTAATACATTTTATCATATGCTATATATATCAATATACTTTGTTTTAATGTTTTACTATTGAAATTTAAAAGATCAAAGGGTTTTGAGGAGAGAAAAAGAAAGAAAGAGGAAAGAAAGAATAGAATTATAAAGAGGTTATGTTTTTTTTTTCTTTTCTCTCTCTAGTTAAATAAAACAGAAACCCCATCCTTGTTTTTTTCTATTTTACTTTCCATCTTGAATATTTATCGTATAAAGTTAACCTTCTTTAACTACTATTGGTATGAAAGTCTCTATTAAATCCTTATTATGACAGTATTATTTTTGAAAATAATTAAATTAATATATGTAAAAGATGTTTATCTTTTAGATGTGATGATTTGCCACATTTTTAGAGGAAATTTAATGTTCTTAATAAAGAGAATTGCTATTTTTTTCAATTAATATACATGCTGAATGGTACATAAAACTAGGGAACTAGCCAAAATTTATATTTTTATATTATAAAATTTTTATCGCCTAGGTGACTAGGCGCCCTAGTGTCGCCCAACATCGCCTAGGTGCCTTGAAAACTATGCGAGCCGAGTCAAGTTTTGGGTGGCTTGAGCTCGAGCTCAAGCTCGACTCAAAAACTAAGAGCTTGAAATTTGACTTGAGCTTGATTGAGTTTTGAATTTCATATTTGAACTTGACTTGAGTYGATACTCGTGAGCTACTCAAGCTCGACTCAGCTCGAGATAATTATAAATAAGTTTCTATTAAAATTTATAAATAAATTAATATTTAAAATATTATAAATAAAAATATATTATGAAACTTGACTATAAATTTATTTATTTATATTATAAATAAATTAATATTTATTTATATTATAAATAAAATATATGGAAAAATAATATTTTATTAGATTAGGCTCGCAAGCTACTCAAGTTGGGTATTGCAAATCTTGAACTTGGCTTGACTAACTACTCAACTCGAGTCAAACTCGACTCAACTCAATAATCTTTGAGACAAGTTCAAGTATTTAGCGAGCCGAACCTGAGTAGCTCACGAGTTGGCTCGACTTGCTTACACTCCTAGTAGCAACTTATGACTTATGAGTGTTAATTATATTTTCAATAACTTATCAACTCAATTGGACTGATGTATGTGTTCCATCTGATTTAGGCTGCTGAGATTGAGAATCTGAAGCAAGAGAAGGTGAGATTGACAGAAGAAAAGGATGGACTTGAAATTCAAAGCCGTAAGCTTGCTGAGGAAGCATCATATGCCAAGGAGTTGGCTGCAGCTGCAGCTGTTGAACTTAGGAATTTAGCTGAAGAAGTAACTAAACTTTCTTATGAAAATGCCAAGTTAACTGGTGACTTGGCTGCAGCAAAAGAAACCCAGTGCAGATCACATGCTTGCCATAGGCACACCTCATTTGACTGTAAGCAAGATCACATTGGTGTTGCAAGGCCTGATGCATGTCCACGAAAAACAGAGGATGTTGCTTTGGTTGAGAAGTTACAAAAGGAGCTTAGTGCAAGATGTCAGAGAGAAGCTTCTTTGGAGGCTGCATTATCTGAGAGAGATCACATAGAAGAGGAGCTGCATAAAAAACTAAATGAGGCAAAAAAGCGAGAAGAGGAGTTAGAAAATGAGCTTGCAAATATGTGGGTGCTTGTTGCTAAGATGAAGAAGAATAACATCAGTTCTGTGGAAGCCTCGCTTGAGGGGGCACACATACCTGATGTATCACCAAGAATTATAAATGGCTTTCCTTCATCCAATGGTCATACAAGTAAGATGTCTAAAATAGATGACAATTATGCCAGCATGGATGAATTGAGTACATTGGAAGAAGTAAGAGCTTGCTATGAAAAAGAAAGAAGAAGATGCAAGGAACTGGAAAATGTTATTTCCAGATTAAAGGTAGGGATCTTATATTGCAGTCTTCCCCTTCTACGGGTTTAACATTTTATCAAATTTATGTAATCTCTCTCTTTCTCTCTCTAGGACTAGCATATTCTCCATCATTTTGATAAGTATATTCCCCAGTTTATTGCTTACATATCCATTGATTTTTACTTCAGAGTGAGAACCTTGTTGGTCTGGATATCACTGCTCTTGAAGAGCTTCAGAACCTTCATGTAGAGGCAATTACCAAGATATGCCATGCAAAGGTGATTTTTTCTTTTAGGTTTATGATGTGGGTTCTTTTCTTTTCTAGGTCCCTTGTTCTCTTCTTGTTCTTCTTGATAGTTAGTGAATCTCATTACCCGTCTTACAAAAAATCTCTCTTATCCAAATCTACCACCCTTAAACTTAGCATTTATCTTTTGTTACTGCTTACAGTTACAAGCCTATTTGTAACCTGAGTGGTAATTCAAAGTTCAGCTACTCTTTCAGAACTTTTGCTCTTCTTTTAAGTTTTAGGTATTTTCAGGAAATTCAGGCAAGCGTAAATGCTTAAATAGACTATTCTATGCTAAATATTAGTTTAATTGGTATTTTACCCTATAAATGTAGCTCTCTGTAATCTGATTGTAGGATTCCTATATGAGTCTTACTTGTCCTACATGGATAAATCATGTAAAAAGATAGTTCTTTAATTTAATGTAAAACCATTACTTGTATGAATAATTGTTGTAGAAAATAAAGGAGCTGGTGAATGTGATCTTAAAGACCTACCAAACACTTAAAAAGGGAAAAACAAAATAAAAAAAGACAAAAAGCCAGATCAGAAGTGGTTGACAAGAGCAATGCTATTTGTGATAGTGAAAATAAACTTTGCAACTTGAACTTTCTCAATTACATGATCCCCAATCTATGACTAAATACAACTTCTATGTAAAATGACTAAATTAATGGAAAAGCCATACTTATTGAAGTAAAGGAACTGCTATCCATTTTGAAGGAAATGTTATGGTGCTCAGTATCCAACTGGGGAAGCATGGTATTATGGTGATGAACCAACTTCGTTGTCAGACTAAAACTACTAACATATAATGGTACACAGTAATTGAATTGCATACTGGACAGTCGTACATTTTTTCCCTGAGTGAGTGTTACATTATTGATAGCAGCTTTTGGTTGATATTGAATAATTATAACAGAAAGCAAAAAAGAAAATGCAAAAGACACATGGTGTAAAGTGTTAGTCTTCTGAAGTGGCTCCGCCAGCCATGCCTAACAAAAGGCCAAAGACAAGACACCCCCCCCCCCACCACACACACACACAAAAAAAAAAAAAAAAAAGAAAAGAAAAGAAAAAGAAACTGAACAAAATAAAGAAACGGATATAATTTTCCAACTCCGAAGTCCAATTTTGATGATATACATATACAAGGTTCAAAGTATCGGCCTGTATTAGTACTTATTTTAAGGTTTTATTTATTTATTTTGAAACCGGTTCAGAGGGGTTGGTTTAAGGCTCGRCTACCTTCTGAACCAGTGGCTGACCTGATACAACCCCTGGAGGGGTGTATCGGGAAGCCATCGGCACGATATGTATCGGCCGATACGTATCGATACTTTGAACCTTGGAACAACCTTGACACTAGTGGTCTACCCTGACTTATAAAGTACCTTGGCTTCAATGGCCTGTGCCACCCAAGCATTTTTTTTCCTAAGTTCATGCATTGGATTTTGTGATCAACTGATGTTGGTTCAGTTGGTAAGTTACTACCCCTGTTGTGTAGCCCCATGGAGCAGAAAAAAAAAACCCTTGGTTTTTGTGTAGGGTTTGACTATTATACCAGAAAACTTGTAATCAATGAACCTATATCATAATTCATAGAAGTGGTAACTAATCAGGTGGTATTTATCAAAATTTGGGAGGTTTTAATTGGTCAACCTCTTCCAGTATTATGTATTTTCAGCATCATAGAGTTTCCCTTGTGTAGTATAAATAAAACTTGTGTTGCAATCAAAAAAATAAATAAAACTTGTGCTGTAATCTTATTCACTACTGGGGCTGGATTAGATATGAAGTGCTGTAATAGGTTGGACCCCTTTTGTATATCTTTTGCAAAGCACATTGGCATACCCAGTTACCAATACATACACAGAATTACTTGTCAACAAAATGATAGAAATTTCCTTCTACTATGAGTTATTTTTGCTTGATACCTTAGCAGTTACACATGAATGCTAACTATTTATTGCTTATCTTTCAATGTAGTGTTCAAGTCATATTCTATAGCATGTCAAGGTTTCTTCATCATTCGAATACTTCGGAAAATAACATAATATTCTGGTCATTGAGGTACTTTGTTGATCTCATGAACTCTTTTGGCAACTTGGGATAAACTCTGTTGCTCTTTTATAATGTTAAATTTACTGTGAGTTCTTGCAAACATGCATAGCTTAGGGTCAATGTCTACATATATCTATATCTGAACGACTTGGGTGTATGTTCTAAAGGATGGAAGAAGTTTACGTCTTGAAGCCACAACTATTAAACAGTGTGTTTAAAAAGTCTTGCCAATTTTCCTTTCTTATATTTTCTTTTCTCTTCATTTCTTCTTTTTTCCTGTGGGAGAGGGGGCAAGGGTAAAGTGCTTGGATGAAGCAGATTCACTGCATCTTTTGGAATGCTAGAGATTTATTGATCGTGACTTATATTGGAATCAGAGGGTCTGTGGAAATTTGTTAGTATCATTGAGTGGAGGATCTTACTGCATGTTTTACTATATACTGATATTTGTCAAGATGCAAGATGTTTACTCATGCAAAACAAGAAGAGGATTGAGGAAGCTGAGGTCGTTACGGATATGTTGACAGTGTTGGAGAAATATTTACCATTAACCATCTTATTTCCAGTGGATGGGTGTTAGAAAATTGGTGTTCCTTTACTGGATAGGAGGAATTTACTGCTTATGGAAACCACTTTATGACCACCTCTGGCTGGGAATGGATGCTACCAATAAATGTGCATGGGCTTCTCTTATAATTGCTGGTAAAGGGCTTTTGCAATAGGGGTGGAACTCATTGGAACAATCTCCCCTTATCAGCATTCCAGTGCCTTGGGTAGTATCTAATCTACATGGTTTGAAATGAAAGGCAGTAATAGCATAAATATAAAGGTACTTAGCTTGATGGACTTAAGCAATTCCCAAGGCTATAACTCAAATCATTTTTATTCTTCTCTTATAGTGTTTGTGCTTGGTTATTAATACAACAACCATATATGTATTGCCACATAATTATTAGTACAAATATACAATACACTTAACTAAAAAGGAAATAACCAGGTTTTTAATCATTGTGAATAGGTTGTCAATTGGTACTGATGCATAGATATGGGTGACTCTATATGTTTACTGTTCATTATTTTTATGCAAAGAAAGCTTATGAAAAATGCGTTATAACATTTATTTAAAGAAGCTACTATAGCATTCTTTTAAAGTAAATCTCCTACATAAATTTGGCCTTACTATGTGTCATGCCTGAAATTGAGTTTCATGTGTACATAAATTTTGAAATGAGCTGATTCAAATACCACTAGATTAACTTGATTTGGATTTGCTTATGTAAAAAAAAGTTCAGCTTACCTGTTCCATATTAATTTTTAGTTATGGAGTCTGATAAGGCCCAAGCCCAAGTTACTACTGCACTAGCCCTGAACCAGGCTTGAAAGACAAGAAGCCCAGCCCAAGTTACTACTATGCCCCTTCCAGTGCAAGAGGCCCACCTATTAGATACCTGTACACTGCGAGACATGTAAACAAAATTAGTTACTGCTATCATGTAACATGTGATCTCATGTGAAACTATACGAGGGAAGTAATATGCAAAGGTGGGCTTTGCAGCATTAAAAATTCATTTCACTCACTCTCTCTCTCTTTCTCCTTTTGATCAGTAAGAAGAATTTATTAAATAAATGAAATAAGTTTATAACAACAGGTTGGCATATTCCAACAGAGTCTGAAATATGTCCGGCTTCGGTCAGGGCAAAGCCCATTCCAACAGCCTTGCATTGGGAATATCTCCRTACTTATGTGATTTATTTCATGGAAGATATTCCCAATGCAAGGTTGCAAGGGGCTGCTCGAATGGTGCAAGCACCGACTTTCCCTGACAGAAGCCGAACTCCTGAAATACATGAGATTCACACTAAAGCCCAAAACAATTGATGTCTATTAAGCCATTGTTTTGCTAGTGAATTCGCTATCCCATTTGATGTTCTTCTAACCCAATTATAAGAGGTGTTTAACTCCCTTGAGAGACATTCTATTTCACTGAAAACATGCCTGTATATCCAAGTGGCTTGGCAAATGCCTTCTGCCCAAGTGATGATTGGTTTTGAGTCTCCATCCAGTAGGGATGGTCACGGTTTGGTTAACTGAACTGTGAGCATATACTATTTGCAAACCAAACTGATCCTATTGGTTTTTAAGATTTTAAACTGAAAACAAGCTGAATCAGTCAGTTAACCAGCTGACTGGCTAACTGGTTGATTGGTTTGGTTTTTTCAATTAACAAATTAAAAAACTACTGAATCAATTCCAACAGCTGAAAACCTAGAAGATGAAGAGGAAATCTCAATGTTTCAATCTACATACCTGATTAGCTAAAGATCAAAGTGCGCATCTCATATTTGTCAAAAGACTTGAAACCATCTCTTAGGCGAGACTTTGTAGCTCCAGATTTGTGCAGACCAATGCTAGTCAAGACTTAATAGAAAATACTTCAGAGATCAAAGAGGAGAAGGTTTACCTGAGCAGTAGAAGAGTCTTCATAGATTTGGGCTGGCAACCTGGGTGTAAAATGGAAGCTTTCTTCACAGTGATTTCTACAATGGAGATTGAAGAAGGAGATTGAGAGATAGCAGGAAGTTCTATCCATCATCTTCCATCTCCAAGTATGCTCTGCTAATCTTAGGTCTCGAGTACATAGCCACCACCCTTCCTGAGTAGAATTCAGCTTTCAGAGAGTATCCCACTCCAATAGGTCTTGAGTACATAGCCACCACCTTCCTGAGGAATCTCTGAACAAACCCCCTACCATCCAATCCAAATTTAGCTTTAATTATTGCTTAGTGGAGATTCCCATTCCATAACCATCTTTTTTCCTTAGAAGATTGTGCCACTTCAGCCCATGTTCTTATTATATCATTCACTGAGAAATCTTGAAAAATTTCCATTGTTTTCATCCAATATGCCACTTTGATCTTTACAGTGTCTATTAATTCCTACTTGGATCTACTTTTTTCATTGAAGATTCCCTCTTTTTCTTCTTCTTCTTCAAACCTCACCAGAGTCTGGTGGCATAGGAATCATGCAACCATACTTTGTTGTTTCTTGAGCTGCAACAGGTTATATGTTGGAAGGATGGAGAAACTAGTCTTTGCTTGCTTAGTGTCATCATTTGTAACGACTCGTAAGGACTAAGCCTATGGGAAAACTTTTTGCTACTCCATGACCAACTTAATTTGGAGTGTATTTTTCATGAACTTTGTCTGCTAGGAACATGGTTATATGATACAAATGTTGTCTACCATCTTTTTCTTCTACCTTTCCTTTCCTACCCTACTTTTAATCTCTCTCTATCTCTCCATCTCCTCTCTTTAGTCATTCTATTTTGATCTCTTGACATATTTGTTAAGAATTCAGTCTTCTGATGCCCTATCTCAACTCATAATTCCCTATCCTAAATGTTAAGCAACATGACCATACTTATTATTCTGACCTTAGATCTTAATTCTCCTGCTTATACCCAATATGTAAGCCCTTTTGAGTTCTCATGATCTTACTATGGGCCTTTTCATTTACAGTTCCATAGCTTTCTCAAACCATCCCCCTAGAGGTGTAAATCGGGATGTGCCGCCCACGGCTTGGCACGATTTTGAACTGGCTTGGCCCGACCTGATGGTCCACGGGTCGTGCTGCGGCTCGACACGATTTGTATGGGCCGATGGGCCATGTCAGGTTTGGGGTTTCAGGTCAGCAGGGCGGGCTGGCACGGCCCGCATTGTCGTGTCGTGTCACCCGTGGCCCGCGGGCCGGCCCGACCTGGCTTTGCACGGCCCATATATATTTATATATATATAATATGCAATATTTATATATTTTATAAATTAAAATTATATAATAATATATAGTATATAATATATTAATAAAATAAACATTTTTTTCAATTTTATTATACTATTTTATTTAATTATTGTATATATAAGCAATTGTATACATCAAAATTCATGTAAAATTAAATTTTTAAGTTTTTTTTTCAAATTTTTAAGTAAATAACTTTGGCCTGGTCCACGGCTCGGCCTGGCCCAAGACTTGGCCCACGGACCAGCCTGGCCCAGCACAGGCTCACGTGGGCTCGGGCCGTGGGCCGTGCCGGGCCGATCCCCCAAAATATACCAAGGGAGGAAGGCGCGGCCCGGCCCACACTTTGCGTGGGCCACACGTGGGCGGCCCAGCACGACCTGTTTTTACATCTCTACATCTCCCCAACCCAACCTTTTCTCTATTTTGACAGCCATATGTTCCCGTCAATACCTTGAACTCAGAATCAACTTCCCCATTATTCTGTCAGGAGTTCATTGTATCACCCATATCTTATTAATATGATGATTTCTTATCAGAGCAAAGCAGCAATTGTGTTTATTTTCTTCTTTTTTTTTACTTGTTTTTACTTTCCTCTGAACATTCGTATTCTGGTTTGAGGAAGAGTTAATTAGTTTCAGATGGTTTAATATTAATGATGAAATACCTAGTATCTTTTCCCACTCGTATCAGCAGAAAATGTTAAATTGATGAAAATGAATTGTTAAATTTTCTTCTTTGGACCTATTCATTGAATCCATTGGTATTTGTCTCAGATCAGATTCTTGATTGAATTCCATTTTTAATTAGAAGTTAAAAGGAAAGAGAAATTATGTGATTTTGCACTTGCTTCACCTATTGCCATCTATGCATTGTGTGCAACTGTGCACATGTGGTTCACCCTTAATGGCTGTTTACAGGCGCTTCTGTTTTTCAGTTTGATGAATGTTAATGTTACTCCAGGTTATGGAAATTTCATGATCCTCGAGATGCCTCTGTACATTCATGCACATAGTAATTAATTTGTTTGGGCGGTCAATTTCCATCAGACTTTTGGAGGGAGATGTAGATGATTTTCATCCTATATCATATATCCAATTTGAAGCAACAGTCAACGCTTGGTAAGACAACATCTTATTTGTAACAAACAATTTCTGTAATCGAAGGTTGTACTAGTTGACAAACTTTTATCTTCTCTTGTAGAGAGACGGAAAAGAAGGAAAAACAAGGTGTTCCCATACATGTATGTATTTTAAGTATAAGGAGAAAGTCCTAGTCTATCTTCTGTTCATTTTGTAATATGTACATGTTGGTACTCTGCATCTATTTTGTCCTCTCGTAAGGCTTAAGTTGCTCAACAGTGTTTAAGATACCAATATGGTGCTGTGAKGCTAAGAATGCCATTCCCCTTTATGGCTCTATCCAAAAGGTAGCAGCTATTTGGTGGGCATTCCCTCACTGAGCCATGGCCCTTCTTGCAAGCAACATTAAGCATGTTCTCTAAAGCCATGTTCACTACGATCAGTGGATTAAGATCGAGAAGGTTGGAGATCCCATGTCCTTGCTCCCTTTGTCAATTGCCCCACACAAGTCGCAACATTCCAACCATGTCATTTTGATGAATGAATTCCAGTGGTGAGGGGCATTTTTCTGTCTCACCGAAATATATGTGGGTAAAGAACCCACTAAAGCTGTACTTGTGAGTTTTGACCTTATCTTGCTATGGCACGCAAAGGTGAGCTGGACCAGATGAGTGCATGCAAAGTTAACCCCACAAAAGCCCTGGTTTGGTTCTCTTGCCAATGGATACCGACTACACACTGTCCAGTAAGTGATTTTGACAGTGTTTTAAAAATTGACCTGGAGGCCGAACCGTTTTTGTCTATGGGTTGTGGGTTATAAGTTTGACCAGCCGGGTTGGATAGGTCAGATTATGTCTTGTCAGCCACGTATGTGTGTTGGTGTGGATATGTATAAACATGTATTTTATCAATAAATAATGTATAATTATGTTTTACATGTAATATATAAAATATTTTATGTTTTTTTAATTCAATTTTAAATTTTTTATTTGTAAAAAAATATTAAAAATTGCAAGTTGAGGCCAAAAACGGATTATTTTTTGAAAAAAATAACGGGGCAAGGCACCATAGGTACCTTGCGATTAGGGGTGTCCACGGTTCGGTTACTTGAACCATGGACTATTTTTGCATACCGAACTAGTATTGTCGGATTTTCCATTTCTTCAAACTGAAACCGAACCGGTACCATTAATTAACCGGTCCATCGATTTTGGTTTTTGACTAGTTTGATTCTTCAGTTTTTCGGTTTTTATATTTATAATACATATTATATAAATATATGTATAATATTATATTATAAATAATAAATGATATATAATATATTATAAATATTATAAAAATATATAATATATATAATATATTTACAAATAGATTATTATAAATATAGTATGTGTATATATTTATATATAATGAATATATTTTTATATAAACCAAACCAGTACCACCGTTTAACAGGTCTGTCAGTTTCGATTTTTGATCAATTTGGTTCTTTGGTTTTTTATATTTATAATATATATTATATAAATATATGTATAATATATTATAAAATATATAATATATATGGTATATTTATAAATAGATTATTATAAATATAATATATGTATATATTTGTATATATATAATGAATATATATTTATATATAATATATAGAAAACGTGTGACATATTAAAAATATATATAAAATATACATATAAATATATATCGATCGGTTTGGTTAACTGCATTTTCTGATTCGATTTTTTTGGTTCGGTTCGGTTTTTCTTTTTTTTTCGATTTTTCATGGACACCCCTACTTGGGATGCATAAATCTCGAAAAGTTACCCAAAATAAACAAAACACCTCAATCGAACATCGGAGTCCAAAGTTATGGTTTCCTAATGATTGCATACATAGTACCTGCGACTTGGTTTCCGGGTCGAACGGGTCAATGGTTCAATTGTTTGGGTTAGATGGTTTTTTGATCAAGTTAGTGGTTTTTTGACCTTTAGGTTTTACTCAAATTGGATTCGGAAACTCGACTGGATGACAGTTTGAACGGTTTAATTGATCGAGTCAACGATGGGTTGAAAACATTGATTTTAAAACTTTAAAAAGAAAACCTACAAAGGATATGAAGGGTGCTAAAATGATCTCTCTACCACTTAATTGGGTTATGCTTTAGATACACATGGATATGCCAAGAAAAACATCAATAACACTTAGGGATCATTTGGTTTGTGGACACGATTGGAATCGGAATTGGAATTAAAATCCCCTAGAATTGGAATCACCTATTCCTAATGCATGTTTGGTTCATTTAGGAATTGGAATCGGATTTTGATTGTTGTTTTTTAGTTCATTGGGGGTTGGAGTTGGAATCAACTAAAACTTTTCAATTTTGTATTAGTCTATTTATTATTTTATTAGTATTTAATAATTAATATCTTATCATTAATTTATGTTATTATTTTATTATTATTTTCTTATTAGTTTATTAATTTTTATTATTTTAAAATTAATTTATTATTATTAAACAATTAATATGTTAGTATTTTTTATTATTATTTAATAATTGATATCTTAGGAATTAGGATTTATCATTAATCTATGAATACTTTATTAATATATCATTATATTATTATTACTTTAATAATATTTTTATTATTATATTTTGTTAATAATTTATTATTATTTAATAAATAATATATTTGCTTTTCATTATTAATTTATTAATGTTTTATTATAGTATTAATGTTTTATGAATATTTTATTGATATTTTAATTATTAATATAATCTTATTTTATTATTAGTATTATTATCTTACTACTATTTTCATAATATTTTATTATTTAATTATTAATGTTTTATTATTATTATTATCATTATTATTATTATTATTATTATTATTATTTTATCATTACTTTAATTATATTGTATTAATATTTTATTACAGTACTATGGTTTTATTACTGTTTTACTAATACTTTGTTAATAGTTCATTAATATTTTTTATTATTTTATGAATAATATATTATTATTTATTATTACCATCTTATTATTAATTTAATAATATTTTATTATTTTATTAATAATAGGATTTGGGGGCTTTTTATCATGAGTTATTTACTTCTTGATGGACTTTGGAATGGGATCTCATCCCCTAGGGAATATAGAATGACCATTCCTCCATATGGGAGAATCCCATTCCTGCCAAACAAACAATAAGAATTAGAATGAACCATTCTGATTTTGATTCCAGGTACCTTTTCTTGGAAACCAAATAGACCCTTCATTTTAAGTCCTAAATGATTAGAGATAAAGGTATATATGTATTAGAAACACGAATGTGAACCAAATGAGAGGAGAGAGAGAACAAAAGTTAATGATAAACTTGATGAGGGGAATCTAATTGAGTCAATGAGAGAGGAGAAGACAATGAGATGAGAGAGAATAAGGATTAATGATAGAAATAGGGTAAATTTTTGAAATCTCCCCTGATGTTTGGTAATTGCAATCACCTCTTCTTAACTATTTAATTAGGGGTGCAAAGACCCAATTACCCTCGTGACTCGTGAGTGGACTAGGCTGAACGTTTTGGGTTCAAAGACCCAATTACCCAAACGCCCCAACCCACAAAAACAAAAAAGAAACGATCTAAAAAAATTGTAAGATGATCTGTAGGGAATATAAGAATAAACAACTTACCAATCGAGAGCTGGATCGTTGGTGTATTAGCTGGTTTGTTCTAGCATTGATGCACAATCGAATCCCACAACCAGCACTTTGGGGAAGAAGGAGGTCAAGGGAAGTCATTTATGGTGCATGGCACCGAATACCAAAAAAAAGGAAAATTCCCGATTAGTACCATGTACTTTGGGCCTAGTGCCACTTTGATTCCCTGAACTTTAAAATGAGATAATTTAGTACTCAATCTTTCAAAACATGACAATCCAGTACTTGATGTTAATTAGCTGTTAACCAACCATTAAGTGGCATTTGAAAAAGACACAAATGCCCTTCGAGTGTCATCTAATTTTCAAGAAAGTTGGGGTCACCAGAATGTCCACTCAAACGTGACCCCAACTTTCTTGAATGGAAAAGGCAAAGACTTGGGACTATTAATTTTTTGTCAACATTTAGATGGTTGATAAAGAAAATTAAACAACACTTGAGGGGCATTTGTGTCTTTTTTAAATACCACTTAATGGCTGATTAACAGCAGGTATTGGATTGTCACGTTTCAAAAGTTTGAGTACTGAATTGTTGCATTTTAAAGTTTGGGAACTAAAGTGACATTAGGCCCAAAGTACAGGGTACTAATGGGGAATTTTACCCAAAAAAGAAAAAAAAGAACACAACTTTTAAACTCATTTTGCCTTTAATTTGGCTCCTAATGAGGAATAAACTCCATGAGGGATTTCTCATTGATTGCTGTACTATTTTTCTTTGGTGTCATTATATTAAACATATTTGAAATCTCATCCAAGACAATGTAGTGTATATAATTTTATCGTTTGAAACTAACAACTTCAAATGAATTCAATTTGTTAAAAGTTATCTTCATGCATTACTCATGGAGAGAGAGAGAGAGAGAGGCATTTACAGGGAGGGAGATGTAGATGCTTCCCCCTCTCATGTCTAACTTGCAACAATTTCAAAGAACTGAAATGCATATTTCTTTTGTAAACTGTATGAAACATTGAAACATCTACATTAATTTGTTAATGGTTATGTATACATATACTGGAACTTCCCTTCGCACCCCCCGAGGGCCCAGTGCCTTGTGTATTTGTAACATAAAAAGAGAATACAACTACAAGTTTGATATTTTATTTTATACATTGTAGCTTTTCTGCTATTCAACTTCATCTCTGAAAAGCATAAGTTGCAGGATATTGATCTGATAAGATACCGAAGTTGATCCCATAAGGCCGAGAAAAGCCTTCACTGTCATGGTCCTTGCTGTTAAATAAACAGAGAAAAGAGTGGCCTAGTCAGAATGCCCCTTGGACAGTCATAAATAAGGAAGAAAATCAGAAGAGGTCTGTTCCAGACTTGGGAATTCTGTTGCAATCTGTAGGCATCCACCCTAACTGCTGTTTCTCATTGTCATAAATCAGCATTTTGTCACGCAAAAACGTATCTGTGAAGAGCAACAGAAGAAAGAGAATGGTTATCATCTGTGGGGAAAACATCACTCATCAGTATTGCATTTTGGTTCTTAAAGAATTACCTCCAATAAGATTGCTATCTCGGAGTCCTACTTCAGCACCATTCAAAATTCCCAAGCAGGCATTTCCATACGGCTGGAAAGAAAGAAATGGGATGAGATTATGTGGTCTTCATTTTCAGGTGCCCTTTTCTCCACTTGTTCAAGAAGCCAAGAAAAGGAGAGGAAAAATAAACGGATTAAAGAAGTTCTTACACTGATGATCAAATAAGATTCCGGTTGTATTTCCATTAGAGCATTCTTGCCATTTGAAAATCTTAGTACCAAGGGCTTGAAGTATTTCTTAATATCACTTATAGATTTGAATGGTTTTGGACCTTTCCAACATACTGGGAGTGTTTCATCAGGCACTTCTTTCAATGGTTTTCGAGCTAAATCCCCCTTCATCTGAAAATACCATGGCATCAATGACATTTTGTACAATATGGATCAAACAGAAAATGATAGAAGGGTTGAGAACTTCTCTCTAATTTGTTTAACTCACTGAAGAAATCAAGGCATGGTAAGCCCTGTTATTTAAGTAAGTGTAGGAGCTCCCACTGTCAAAAACTGTCTTCAGACCCTCAACACCAGTAGAGTGCCCTCCAAGTAATAGTTCAGCAGGCCCAGGAGAGTAGTGTTTGCTGGATAAGTGGTAAATAGATAAATAATCCACAATAAGAAGCATTGAAGTGTTAAGGGTTCAGAAGTGCTTACCTCGAGTAATCTTTTGACATTGGTGTCCAAACTACCCCTGATGATGGGACCAGATCATCACCAAAGAATAGAAATCCACCACCCCGTCCACTGAAACAATGACCAAAAACATTTCTTGATAGACCTTGATCTTGGAACTGAGATATGAAGCTAGATTTGCCAGTTCCAAGTCCTAGCACTCCATCCGTAGGAGAAACTGATTCAGAAGAGAACTCTTGATCATATCCACATCTATAAACAAAAGATCCACAAGAACCAATTTTGTGAACATTCAAAATAGAACAAGGATAACAAATTACAACTCAAATCAAGGAATTCTTTGATGTATCATACCCAAAAACCAAATGGGGTTTAATAAGAGATCCATTGGTGAGGCGGAGTGGGAACTCATCCTTCAAAAGGACACCAAGGGATGAACCACTATCAGCATACTCAATATCGTAGTCGCATTGATCAGTTGGTCTATCACATCTGTAATTCCCAGGGTGGTGGAGGGAGGCACAGATGGGATCCTGACAAAAAACTAGGTTGTTCTTGGGCCGGTACAGAGGATGAGGTACCTGCTAAAAGGAATATTAGAACTTAAAGGTAGAAGTTATTCCAATTCATGGTTGTATTTAATCTGTATGTACTTACCTTTGAGCACCTGACACAAGGGGCATCACATTGGAGCCATGTGAGATCACTGCCTGTATCAATATCAAGGAAGTAAGGCTTGGGCGGTTGGCCAATGAAAAGGGTAACATAGTACAACCTGCAAGGTAGAATAACAGACTAGTTATTGAAATAGATAAATCAAAAATCTGTGGCCTGCACTCTGCACAATGATGAGCTATAAAACAAACTTCATTAAGTTTTGATTGTATAGAGACCACAAAGGAGATTAAACTGCAGAGTGAGGAGCTTGACGGATTAAACCACAAATTGAACTCCAATGCAGGGGCAGATAAGAAACTATGTCATCAAATCCTTTTTGAAGCAAATGCAAAGGAAGCTGGTCAAGTTTAGGRAATTAATAAACAAACAATAAGAGAATGGATCATTCATATATTTAAAAAAATGTTTTCTTTTATTTAACCAAGCAGTGAAGGCATTCTTAATAAACTGAGAAGGAATCGAATTTAAGGCAAATGAAGTTTTTTTTTTTTTCTTTTAACAAACTTTTGGAAATTGAAGAAATTGAGAAGATATCAAATTTAATGACTGAAAGAGGCAAATTTAATAGAAAATGGGTCCCCAAGTTTCAGAGAGGTGGAATTTGTACTGAAATTCTTAAATTAAATAGAGAGAGAGAGAGAGAGAGAGAGAGAGAGAGAGAGAGAGAGAGAGAGAGAGAAATCAAGTTTTAAGAGAAATGGGTAGAGTACTGTTTACTGAAGCTTCTAATACTATGAGATAGGAATAGTACACAGATAATAAAATGGGTACTGAAATTTCTAGAAGAAACAAAGAAAGGAACTAAAATGAGTTTCCAAAATTACAGAAGCCTAGTGCAGTTGAAGGATCAAACAGCAAAACAAACACGACAAATTTAGGGAAGAAATAACTGACCACCTGCAACACAAGGATCAAAGTTATTTAAGATRGCAAAACCAATTAATAATATATAAGCCCATCAACAATTCCGTCTATCTTTTCAACACGTACCCATCAGGATAAACATTCCCACGAACTGGAAACACAACGGAGGAGAGACGATTCTGGGTTCCATGCTTGGTGCTGGATGACGCTGCATCTGATCTTGTTTGCTTTCTCCAGTTGAACGGATTGAATGCTGCAGAGCAATCTTGAAACGTTGCAGAAAAAACCAACAAACCCAGCACCAAGAACAAAACTGTCCTCCCTCTCGTCTCCATCTTGCTCTAAAGTCTAAACCTCTTCCTTGTCGCCAAAATTAAAGATGGGTTGCAGTAAGATCACTCTGCTCCTTCATGCAACACAACAAGAAACAAGTCAGAATCTGTTTATCTACTGATAAATTCTAAAAAAAAATGGCGAGAGAATACATGGGATGGGAAACAGAAGACGCGTTTGATTCGGAAGCTTCGTCTGCGCGCGACTGCGAGAGCAGAGAGCTACTCGCTTCGCACGCGGTATTGTTTTCCGTTGTAGATCATTTGGTCTACGTGGGTTTTGTCGTCAACAACTATATATAAGAAGAGAAGGGAAAAGGTGTAAAAGAGTTGATGTGTGTGACCCACTTTGTAATTTCATTAGGATGGTTTTGGTTTAGATTCTTCGTTCTCTGCGGTGGAGAGAGAGAGAGATGGGTTCTTACTTGCTGACCAAGAATTTGAAGGGGATTTGCTTTCTTTCAATCCCTTGTTCTTGTCTTTTTCAGTGGGTTTTCAGATTTCAATTGTTCTAAAAAAGCTTTTTAACAACCCTAAGTCATGCATTTGCACAGTTGTTATTACTTGGGGAATCATTCCTTGCTTCCTCTAAGATGGGCATGCTGGTGAATCAGCACTAATTTGCATCAGAGGGAAAAGATGGGGTTCTTGTGTATCCGGGTCCGGGTCATTGGATGTCCTTGACCCGACCCATTAATTGGCCGGACCAGTAGTAGGCCACTGACTTTCATTGGCAAGTTTTAGGGATAAACACATCAAATGGGTTGATTACATAATAGTAATACTCAATGGATTGCAAGGTGATAGCCCACAACATGATTTTTTTTCCACAATATCCAAAGGCTTACATGCTTATTGGTCTAGAGACTCTAGACAGTCTGTGGTTRTTAGTCAAGAAGGTAGCCCCACATAGGACTTGGGGCACTTGAGAGGTTAGGCCAATGAATGGGTCAAACCCTAAAAGTGGGTTTCTTCTATGCATTGAATATGATAAAAGTGGTTTTGGTATAGGAGACTAAGAAGGTTCATTTCATTCCACATGGTTGGAGGGAAAGCTCCCGTGCCTTTCTTGTTTGTCAATGTGTAGATCAGCATTATTTTATTGGGACAAATTCCTACTTTGTTCTCTTGCATTCCAGGTTAAATATATATATTAGTGAGGGAAAAGTGCCTGGTTGTGATGGGCCGGGTCACATTAAGCCCGGATCCTGCTTACTTAGCCCATTTTTGGTTTTGGGTTGGTCTAAATAAAGAAAGGATACCTGACCTGCCCCGTCCCATGTATAGTACACATTGGCTAAGCCTATCTATACTAATAAAAGTGCAAATGAGGAAGTATTGACTTCTAGAATTTTTCTTTACTAAAATACTCTTCCTCTTGAATTTAGTTCATCTTCATTGAAAAAGCAGAAAATATAAGTAAAATAATGCCATTAAGTACATTCAATTACCTCTCATTAAGTCTTATATTTAAGTCATTAAATAAATAACATTCTCTCTCATTGAATCTAACATTTATACTTTTGTTTATCATCATTAAATTCCACTAATAAATCCAAACACAATAATTATTAATAGAATGAAATTTTATGTTTTTAAAATAAACATAGAAATGAAATCATATTTTTCATCTAGGTGGTCGGTAAGTAGTTCAATCATTTGGGTCAAATGGATAATTTCATGATGTCATAAATAAATAATACAAATTTAGAAATATAAAAAATACTTTTGTTTATCATCATCAAATTCCACTAATAAATACATGCACAATAATTATTAATAGAATGAAATTTTATATTTTCAAAATAAACCTAAAAATGAATTCATATTTTCCATATAGGTGGTGGGTAAGTACTTCAACCATTTGGGTTAAATGGATAACTTCACGATGTCATAAATAAATAATACAAATTTAGAAATAAAAAAATATAGAAAAAAGTAATTTAAAAAAAATTGAACACATTTCTATTATTATATACTTTTCATATTAAAAAATAAGTATGATAAARTAGACATAATTTTATTAATGATGAACATCAAATATACAACTTAAAACCGACGGGAAACTAAACCGTCTTCCTATGTAGGGGTGGGTTAGTGGTTCAACCTTTCAGGTCAAATAGGTTAACCCATGATGTATAATTAAAAATAAACTTTTTAAAATAGAATAGTACAAAAAATGACACAATTTTGGGCACAWCTATAATATTATATTACTAATAATATAAACAAAAATAAGTATGATAAACAATAATTATTTTATCAATGATATAAATGAAATGCAAAATTTAAAACCAGTTTGGAAATGAAACCAATTCCGTATCTAGATGGTAGATAGGTCAATGATCTAGCATTCCGAGTCAAATGGGTCAGTCTATGATGTCATAACTAATTTTTAAAATAGAATAGTACAAAAAAATAAGTATGATAAACAATAATTATTTTATCAATGATATAAATGAAGTGAAAAAATTTAAAACTAGTTTGGAAATGGAACCAATTCCATATCTAGATGGTAGGTAGGTCAATGATCTAACATTTCGGGTCAAACAGGTCAATCTATGATGTTATAACTATAAAATAAATTTTTTAAAATAGAATAGTACAAAAAAATGAAACAATTTTGGGCACATCTATAATATTATATACTAATAATATAAACAAAAATAAGTATGATAAACAATAATTATTTTATCAATGATATAAATGAAATGCAAAATTTAAAACTAGTTTCTATATATATATATAATATAATATAATATAACAATATATATAACAAATATTGATTCGAATTTGATTCGATCCGAAGATTTGATCGGATCTCATAAATATTGATCCGAATTTGAATCCGATCAAGATGTTGGGTATTTGAATATGATGCGATCCAATTTAATTTAAAAAATAATAATTTATTAAAAGGAAAAGAAAGTATAATAGTTGAAATAAAGAAAAACAAAAAAATATAAGTAATTTTTTGAACTATTTTCATCATATAAGAAGTTTACAAAATGCAATATAAATAACATATTTATAAATAAATAATAAATAACATGTATATTATATATATATATAATTTGACCAAAATATTTAAAACCAACATTCAAACAATATATTGGAATTGCATTTCCTCTTGGTAAATAGGTAATTTTTATTATCTTATAAATTAAATAAAAAAATAAAAATATAAAATTTTTTATAAATTTTATAAAAAATTTGAACATGCATTAGTATTATATATTTTTCATATTAAACAAAAATATGTTTGAAAAATAAGAATTGTTGTTAATAAAAATACAAATGGCTAAAATACAAAGAAAAAAAATGAATTAATGTCTTAATCATAGTCCATTTTCCTGGTTAAATAGGTTAATAGTTCAACCAATAAGGTCATTTGGTTGCTGACTATTATCATTATCACCATTTGATATTGCCACGTGCAACGTACACACACTTTTACTAGTATCTACAAATATTTCAATGCTGCAATGTCCATGGATTGGGGTTTATCACGGGCTAACCTCAACCCAAACCCGAAAACTCAATTAAGGCTGACCAATGTTGACCCGATAGGGTTGGGTCAGTGCAGATTTACACCTAACCCGATCCACTGATATCCCTAGTCGAAATCTAGGTATCCAGTTTTGGGTGAACCTATGCTATTGTGCTATGAGGTTAGTTAGTTGAGACTTGGAAGTTGGATCCAGTGTCAGGTCATGTGTACAAGAAAAGRCCCATTTTTTGTACTTTGTAAGGTAAGGCCCATTTTCAATCATAACCCCAACCATTTTAACTACTGTTCGAAAAAAATTTCCTTTTGGTAAGTATAGAAGCTTTATATCAGGGCATCTGAACCATGAATTGGATCTAAACCACTAGATTCCTGATATCCAAAACCCTAGGGATGCCAAAACCCTCCCCTGGATGAAACATTTGTCTCTAGCCAAACCAAATCAGTCAAAAACCTAAAACAGATTCAAATAGGTTGTAAATCATAGGCTGATCTTCCTTGCAATGCTCAGACAATTAGGCCAGGCATGGAAAGAGGTTTTAAATATATATAATAATATTAATTATATACATATATTCAAAATATATAATTATATTTTGCATTTTTGCTATAACATATATTTTTATTTAGTTTGATTTTTTAATTTTAAAACTTGAGATTTGAGGTCCAAAAAGACATTTGTTTGGCAAGGTAAGTTTGCACATTTATGTTTTAAATAAATAAAAAAGTCTCCCAGTTTTTTAGAACCGGGAGCAGATTTTTGGTTGGCCCAGCTAGGTCAACAGTTTTGGCCAGTTTTTATGACTTTCAGATTTAGGGGTATGAGCGAACTGGATAGGGACCTGGTTCGATCAGTACGACCGGCTGGTCCAGTCTAATTTCCTAAACAGTGATAACAAGGCAATACACATAAATAAGAAGTCAAGAGTTCAAGTCTTGCCATTGTCATTTTGAAATTTCAATTCATATAGTTCTCCGGTTAAACCAGCCGATTAGCTGGTTTTAACTATTTTTTTTTTTTTTGTCAATTTTGATTTTTAGGGTAGGACCGAACTAGCCAATGCCTCGTCATGATTCAATTGGTTCAACCGGTTGGTCTGGTTCAATTTTCTAAACACTTATTTATTTATCGTTAGCGATTTTTGTATCAACTTTATGTTTTATTATTATTGATTTCATGATTTTATATTTTCAATAGATCTATCATAATTCACCAGGCTCATGTGTTCGCAGTCAAATCTGAATTGAATACACATTTTACATTTGATTAGTTTTGCATTTGTTTGTTTGTAACTATAATTTGCACCCTTATGGATACAAAATTTATACTTATTGTCTCATTTGCACTCATTGATTGTAAATTTTGCATTCCAAAAACTGAAGCAAAATTTGCATTCCAAAAACTGAAGCAAAATTTGCACCATCTTACCTAATTTTATCTCATATATAGTTGGAACCACATTATCTTGCTTCATACTCCAAAACAGATAAGATAACCAATCCTCCTATACCTCCATTCTCTTTCATATAAGTGGAGACCATATCATTTGACTTATCACAAACAAATAAGACAAAATTAATCTGAAGCAAAAGGAAATGAGAATATACATTCAGCCTATTTGCACTCTCATGCATTTACACCACTGCTGCGCTCTCATCCATTTACACCACTACAAATGAAATTCACACCGAGAGAAAGCTATATATATATATATATATATGCCAAATAGACTAATCATTTGAAATATTCCT